GATCTCCCAGACATTTCAGGCTTCCTGTGGCCTTCTGTCTCCTCAAGACGCTCTTTAGTCTGGTATCTGAGTTACCACTAGCCTATGAATGCGTCTGTTTAAAGACTTAAACATATCTGTCCCAAACTGATAAGAGGTCTGGATTTAAATGTATTAGTTCAACTACATTAGTGCCTGTTGTGAGCGCTCATTCAGAATTAAATTCAATTAATTTTAATTCATTTCTGAGAGGGTCTACACGGGAGTTGAATTTAACTTAGCCAATATGTTTTGTAAGTTAATTGTATTTGTTTTATTAATTGGGAAAATCGGCCAATTTTAAAGCTGAACTAGCTGAAATAGGCTCTGTTGAAATCCGTTTTAGAAACGTGGATACAGGTCACCAGAACTGGCTTGAGTATAGCAGACTAATCTACTGTCCTCTTAGAAAATGGAGATCCGCACCACAAATTCAAAACTACAGGTGAAAAGTTAGGCCCTGCTGCCTTTCAGATTCTCCTGTTAGCTGTTACGGTGCTTTCAGTATTGAAAGGAGGGCTTGCTGTTACGCAGCGGCACTATTTTTGGTGTGAGGATTGCCCAACAGCGTCGCGAGGAGCGAGCCTCGTGTGTGCTGCGCCCTGACGCAGCCAGTTCTGCTGCCTTGCCTTCCTGGCCTCCTCCTCTTCCAGGGGCAGAACAACTCCTTGCTTTCCCGAATCACACCTCCAGCCTCCGCGGCAGAGGCGGTCCGTCCGTGACTTTACGGGGAGGGTGCACCGACCTGATGGCGGTTTAGTCGGACTGGTTCCTCCCCCCCCCAGCCAGTCACACAGCCCGGTAGTGTGGCTGGCTGCTGGACAGGGGAACTTATGACTCTGCTCGTTTTCTTTTCCTCCTCCTCATCTCTCTGAGACTGAAATAATTAGTAAATCTGTGGCGCCCATGTCGTCCTGAACACAGGAGTCGCAGCTCTGTTAAGGCCTTGTGTTAGCCTGTCCCTTCACCAGTTTGCTGCAGAGCAAGGCTGAGCCCAAGGTAATGATGCAAATGTCTGTCAATTTGTTGTTATTTGGGAAGCTTTAATTATTCGGGAATTACTGCTGTTTGGCAGTTACTGATAAATACTATTTTTAGTTCTCATTTTTCCCCCCCCCCCCCTTTTTTTTTTTTTTTAAAGGCAAATCACATTCAATCACCAGACATTATTTCAAAATTCACTGCATCTTTATCTGAGTCTCCTCATAACCACGGAAGAGATATGTATCAAATAACACTTCGGTGCCGCTGCGAAGCAGATTGTGCAGTGAGCCCCATGAAGTTTGTTATTTGGATAAAAATCCATTGTTTTTAAATGCACGTCGAAACTATGCTTCAGGCCTAGGCACAGATTCATTGCAGCTTGCACCGTGCTGCGATCTACACCAGTTACTTTTGGAAGGGAATGCCTTCAGAGGTCCTGCTTGGGGTTTCTTGCGGGAAACGGTAGCTTTAGTTACTTGTGCAAACTTCCGAGGAGCCCTGCAGCCTCCCAGCAGGTCACTTGTGTTTAAAGGAGAATAAGATGTAATTAAGATTTGTTAGAGCTCTTGTGATAATCAAGTTGGACTGCAGTACGGGAAGCAGGAAGACACTGTGTCTTCTTGGCAGAAAGCAGGCCAAGATGTTCATTTGGGGCTACTCTGATTTTATTAAGAAGTCTGCACTTAATGGTGAAGGATGTTAGCTAACAAGCAGGCAAAATAACTCTGATGAACCAAAGTAACTTCTTTAAGGAAATTCTGTGCTATACTTGCTGGAATGTTCCTGTAATGACATAGACGTGATTTTTGGAGACCTGGGTCCAGGTTTACTTTCTGTAACGGTGATGCATATGTGAACTGAAAAACTAGGTATTTTTATTTAAAATCCAAGTATTTATGAAGGCTCATGAAAAAGAAATGCTCATAATAATAATTTATTTTTAAACAGAGTGGATTTGGGAACAGTTCAGGAACTTGATGTTTCTTTTGATTTTTGGTGTATAAATTAGATAGATTTTAATGTATGGTAGAGGTTGCTTTAACCTTGGTATTTTAGACATGAATGGATTTCCTGTAGTTTCTAGGTACCTATTGCTCTGTTGGAATAGTTGGAATGACTGAAGTATATGTAGTTAATTTTATTAATATGGAGGCCTGATTACAGTTCATCCCGCCAAATGAACCTGGGATAAGTGTTTTTACTCATCATAGGAAATTTTACAAGCTTTTTTAACAGGCAGATTGCTTTAAGCATTACTCATTTTTAAAGTGAAGATGATTGATCCTAATTAGTGTCCACTGTGTGTTTAACTTTGTGATTCATAATATAATTCATGATATAATTTAGGGATAGGTTTCTACAGAAATTATGTACTAGGAGATAAAGCAAATGAGAGACTCATTGAATCCTTACTTCCTACCTCCCAGCCATTTCTTAAACCAGTCTGTTTAAAATAACAGTATAGATGCTGACTCTATTTTTGATACTGGATGTCTGTTTCTTTTGGAAAAAAGGTACTCTGCAAATTCTCTAGCAAAAACATATAGGACTAAATACATCCATGCAGAAAGATGCATACTCCATCTGTATTATCTGCATGTGGCAACTGTAATGCTCTGAAATACATGAGTGAATAGTGTTTTGGTACTTGCCAGGTTGCTGGTAGCTAGTTTTTGGGTGCCGTCCCCAACCAATGACAAGGAGTAAGGTTCTGTTAACGTAGCGTAGCTTATAGCAATGTTTTAATCAGAGTATGCAGTCTCTCTCTGTTTTTTCTCTTCATCCGAAGCAGGAAGTTTTAAAAGAACAGGTTTGCGTCTTCTTAATTAAAAATAGTGCAAAATAAACTTTCAGACATGACAGGGCAGATGATTAACTCTGCCTGAGGTGAAAAGAGATAATGAAGGCGGGGAGTGAGGGGGAGGCTTGGCAAAATTGAGCTACTAAAATATTTGTCTTAGTTTATTGTAGTGATGACTTGAAGTTCAGTTGTGCTGCGCTCTGGGTTTAGTTTCTGTTTCAACAGCCTGTCTGACAGAGAAGTAGTGGCATGTGTATGCCATCGTCCTGTGGTATGGCTTTCACGTGCTTCAGGATGTTGAACACGCGTAAGAAGCTGTTTGCTGTTTGTGTTCAGAGGAAAATGAGTTGCAGCGTTTTCGCTCATTAGAGTTTTGCAACTCGCAGTTAGAGCTCCTCACATAATCAAGTGAAAAACCGACCGGAAAAAGCAGCAGTGGAGTGTTGTCCAGAACACTGCTTCGTGTCAGTGTTTTGGGTAAAAACCAAGCTTTTGTGGGCACTGCAAGCCTGCAGTGGTCGTTGCCAAAGCGCTGCTCAGTGCCCGGCCTTCCCATACGAGATCCTAGCACTACTAATTTCAGTAGCTGATTTCCTCCTGCTCCTGAGGGAAAATTTGCATGATAATTCAAGGGAGCTGAAGTATTCAGTAAAAGCTGACAATTAATTGCATCAGTTAGTGGAAAAATACCTGGGGATTGAACCCCCTGTTCCCCTGACTGCCGATAAGAGAGAAGGTAAGATTTAAGTTCTTAGGAGCTAACGAAGATCAGTGTCTAAAAGCTTTCCACGCTGCTCCCCGATTTTAAATAGCTGTTTGTTAATTATGCAGGTAGCGCTGTGACCTGCCGAGTCCTAGCACTTAGGTAAGACGCGCACACGTGGAGTGCTCTCTAAGACTCCCTGAGAGGTTCTTCCGAATTTTGTAACGTTCCGACACAGGGAAACCTGTTAACCTGGAAAGATGTGCGTTATTTTACCCCAGCAGAGCAAATGGCTTTTAATGATGACCAAAACCATGGAAATAACTTCCTGTGCTCTCCTGTGAAAGCATTTGAGCAGTGTTGTGGAGGACTCTGTAAAGGGCTACATCAGCCCAGGCCTTTGGCTATACCAGTAGCCTCTTTCCTACTGCTTTCTCAGTTTTGTTTTTTTTTTTTTTTTTTCCCCATATGTTCCATCCTCTCTTTTGGAGTTGATAGAAGAAAATTCCTGTTTCCGCTGTGCTCTTTGCCTTTTTAAAAAACGAACTTAAATGTAAAAACGTGATGACATCATCTCTTCAGGAAATGCAACGTAGCGTTATGGGAGGTTCACGACAACCGGAATCTCTCATTTAGGAATGAAATATCATCACACTGATGATGCTTAAGCCTCAAAGATCATTTGTCAGAAAAAATTACTTACTTTAACTGATTGGAAAAGTAGGAATGGTAGTGCTGCCAGCAATGCATCTTTGCTTCGGGAATGAATAGCTATTATGAAACATAAGTCAGATGAGTTTTTTTGTCAAGGTGTATTTTTCTGCCACTAATAATTCCACTTAAATATATTGGCTTCTGTCAGTCTATTTTCAGTTAGTCTTCTGCACAGTCATTACTCAAATATAGTGTGTAAATAAAATGGTGACCTCCGCAGAGCTCCAAAGATTGCAGTGGCTTCAGTTTTGAACAGCTCTCCTTAAGCTGTGTTTAGGAGTGCCTAAGTGGCCTAACTTCTTTCCTCTGACTGCCAAACCAGCAAAGGTGAAAGAGGATGCAAAAGTATATACCAAACTGCTTGCTTTCGTTTCTAACCAAAGACTGTTTCCATGCTAAACTTGCTGCTCTGACACAAGCCAGAGTAATTAAAGGATAGAAAGAGAAGAAGGGATAAGAGCTTTTGGAAATAATTACCACTGGCAGGTAGAAATGTGCTTATTTCCAATAAAACTGAATCCCTCCCAGTACCATTCTGTTGTGCGAGACTTTTTCTTCCCCTCGGAAAGTCAAAAGCATAACTTCTCTTTCTTTTGGGGAGACTGTTAATGTCATTATGTCATTAATGGTCATTATGTTCCTATCATTTATAACATTAAGTTTGCATATATCTTTCTGTCATAGACCATGAGATGCTTTGTGATTTTGCGTAATTGTTTTGGTTATTGCACCCCAAACTTGAGTTTAATCTAACTTTTGCATCTGTTTTGCTCTGTACAGTTGACACTCCAGATCCCTATGTGGAGCTGTTCATCCCATCAGCCCCTGACTGCAGGAAGAGAACTAAACATTTCAATAATGATGTGAATCCCGTGTGGAACGAGACCTTTGAATTCATTTTGGACCCCAATCAAGAAAATGTTCTGGAGGTAAATCATCTGACTGAGGTGTATCTGTGAAAAGGAAGTTGAACAATGTCTGGAAGGTTAGAATAGCAGTATCTTGTACATGTACAGCATCTGTTGCCTCAACATTTCAAAGATTTTTTTAAAACATTAAAGGCTAGATTTTGCCTTTAGGCATGGTATTAAGCAAGCGCGTAAATGTATAGATTATATTATTCAAGGAGTAGGCTTGAGAGTCTTTGTGAGATAGGCCTCTGAATCATCTCTCAGACTGCTCCTGAGGGCTATAGTAGCTTACTGTTCTTCGCATCAGCTGTAAATTATTGTTTCCCTGCTTCCTTGACTGATTCAACTATTAGGGACAGTGAAGATCTGGGGGTAAAGTCAAGTCTCTGCCCATTCCCAGCTCCTCCCTGAGGAGACAGAAACCAGAAGCATGGCTCTTTCTCCTCTGTGCCTGGAGCCAAGGTCTGAGTTGCCCACCTAGTGATGTTTTGGGAACCTTTACTCCATGTGCAGGCTTATTGACTAAGGCACCATCTAATCTGAGTGCATTAAGCCTTTCCAGACTGCGTACAAAGGGTGAGTATGACTATTTTATATGTGGACATGGTAGGAATCTAAAGCTATCTGTGTTGCTTTGTTAGCTTAGTGGTTCTTAGGGGATGGCCCTAACACACAGAGTGCTTTTACCCTAGTTTAGGCATGTTCAGCCTAAATTAGAGGGCCAACTAGGAGAGAGGCTAAAGCCTGTGAAGCCTTTATTTGAGCTAGTAAACATAGATCTTGAACAGTTTAGCTCCAAGAAATTAAAATCGGTGCTTCCTGCAGTGTTCCCTGTGTTCCTGGAGAGGCAGGCATGTTCTGCCATTCAGGGAGACAGAATTGCATGGTGCTGGAACACAAAGAGCCATGTGTCCTCCACAGGTGGCAGGTGTACTGGGGAGGTCCCAATAATTTCATTACAGCTTTGCAGAAAGGAGATTACCTAGAGTAACTTCCACCAGCTGGTCATGTGCACCAGTCACCTGAGTTGACTCTCACTAAATGTTTTGGTCATGGACATGCAAACTGGCAGCATGAAACCTGAGGAAAGTTTGAAATCTCTAACTTCAGTTATTTTTTCTGATAACAAGACAAACGAGTAGATACCTGGAATTAGAGGAATGAAGTGATTCTATTTTCTTCCTGAGAAGCATTTGTGGAAATGGAGAGGAAGAAGAAAAGAAGAACTGGGGTCATCAACCTGCCTCTATTGCAATATGGGAAATGAAAATCGTTATATTTCTACCTGATGAAGCTATATAATCCTTTTTTGAGCCTCTGACTGCCGATGAGCAAATAGTAGAACACAATATGATGTATAAACGGTTTTAATAGGTTCAGGTGTCACAGTCTGTAGTAAAGCTTTCAAGTTTAGCAGAAATTATAGTAAAAGTTTAAACTAAATAACTATCTGCATTTGTAATCAAATGAGAGTCTTAATTGTTTTTTTTAACCTCTGTAGATTCTAACATAAATCCTGGGGCAGAGAGCTTCTTGTGTCTCCTTGCAGGATTTCCTGCACTTTCTAGTTTGATAATTTGTGAATGAAATACAAGGTTTGGAGTAGTACTTTTTATGCTTGCATCATACATGCAGGGGTTAAAACTGCCTCAGCAAAAAGGACTCAGCAAAAATCTATAATATAATTTATCCTAGCAATTGCATATGGAAGGAGCAAAAAAAAGAAAATGGTATCACAAAGGGGAAAGTGGAAAAATGTAGCTCTGTATATGAGTTATAGTTGAATCTTTTTTAAAGTTCATCTTTTTCTTGATTTTAACTGATAAATTAGCGAGCTGTAATTGAATCATCTCCATCTTGATTAAGATTTTGTCTTGGAGTTTCTTTAGGGTTTTTTCTCATTACATTTTAAAACACGTTTATGAAGTGAAATAAGTTACGAGCTATGAAATGGGATCACAAAAACGGTTTCCTAATAGGTTCTGTGCCCTCCAGTGCACTGAATTTTGGGAGACAAGAAAACAGCGCTTCCTTCAGGATCACGGTCAAGGAGAATCCATTGAATAAAGAACATGACAGGTTTCAGGGAACTTGCACAGTAATTACAGCAATTCTGTGTGTCAGTTGTTTCTAACTTGGTATCCTGTTGGTTGTCGTTCTGATGTTGTTACAGCTGTTGTGGATGTTGGAAGATCTGCAGAAGCTAGTGCTGGCTAAAAGTTTGGAAACAGCAAATAAGAGTTAAAATACAGTCGCTTGTTTACATTGGCATTTTATAAAGATTGGGTCAGATTGTGCTTCTTGTTACACTTAGGCAGCTTCCCTGGTAACGTATGAATTTGTTGAGGGTAGAATTTGGCTCAAGAATTTTAAAAGGATAAATTGCTAAGTCATGAGCAACAATGGCTAACGGCTTATCTACTGCCTTCTTTAGAATCAAGTACTGCCTCTTGTACTCAATATCTGTGTGCGTTTTCATGTGAAGAAGTTGGCATGGTGGCAAGCCATTTGTTCCTTACCGTTATAAGATCTACATATTTTTGACCGTGGTGTGGCTCGAGTCGTTTGCTTCCTTCTGTGTTAATAATGTGACTAACTCATTTCCCGCCATGGTGAGAATCCCCAGTTACTGAAACATCTCCAGTACATCGACTAGCATTTTATGAGGTTTTTCTCATAGACCAAAACAGAAATGCATATGCTAAGCCTGTGCATCTTTTCTAGGTCACTTTGATGGATGCCAACTATGTTATGGATGAAACTCTTGGCACGTCCACATTTCCTATATCCTCCCTGAAACTGGGAGAGAAGAAGGAAGTCCAGTTAACTTTCAACAATGTAAGTTGCAATATTGTGTAGCTTCACCTTGTTTCCTGCAGCACTGAACACGATGGAATGGATTCTGAACTGTTGGATAGATCAGGACATACCATGTTTCTGTCTTTTTATGAGGTGTCTGAATTCTAGCTCTGCCATGCTGCGGTTAAATAAAAGCTTCTTCACAAATCATAAGTGTCTGCATGTGAAGGCTAAGGAATCTCACCATGTCTGAGGTAACTCAAGAGTTTTCCCCTAGTCACTCTATTGAAGGATAAGGAAAAGGTTTGGCCTGCTGCTGATAACTGTTCCCAGATATAAAAGGAAATCCAAGACCATTTCTGATCCCACTAGTCTTCCTCAGTACTAGCTATGGATGTGTTTTCTCGATGTATAACTAAGTTTTAATTTCAGAAATGGATTAGAATGCATCATGAAGGGGCTAATGGTGGCAGCCTTTCAATCAGGAAATCGGTGAATTTTGGGCGGTTTGGGAGAGGTATGTCAGGCGAGGATTGTTCTCTGCATGCCCTGCTCTGAAGTTCGTTTTCTAAGCATTCACTCTGTGCCACATTAAGGCACACAGCGCTGGCCTCGTGGAACTATGTTTATCTTCTTAAAATCCTTTTGAGAAGAAGAGAATAAATGGTAAGGAAACATCAAGTCAGGCTGAGCCCAGTGTAGACAATTTGTATTCGCAACTTCTATTCCTAAGATTTCTATTGCAATTAGTATAAAATAAGAAAATGACTTGCTATTTCCCTGTTGGGACATTTCCCTTAAAGAATTTATTTAATACTGTGTGCATACATTTTTTTTCAACTACAGTATCACTACATGTTTTCAGAAGTGCTTTCTAAATTAGTAATATCAGGCGCTGAAATAAAGTAATTACTACTCTGTCTTTGAAGCGTTTCCCTGAATGACGCTTAACTCTGTTTCTTCATGTTCTCCCTTTGGTTTTTTTTTTCTCTTTTCTTTCTCCCACCACCTTCTCAGTAAACCACCTCATTTAGCGTTTTCCCATTGCAGAGTGAAGCAACTGAGTGCCAGATTTTGCCTCACCCCTCGGCAGTATGCAGGATGTGGCAGGCCAAGAGAGCTTTACGCTTCCATCTCCTTAACTAGTGTGTGCAAGGGTCAAGCATGTTCAGTCGGAAGCGTTAGTCCAATTCTAGCCCTGTTCCTAATGATCAAACGCCGCAAATGAGGATAATGCATTTATTGCAAGGGGCAAAGCGAGACAAGGCGCTATATATGACTGTGTTACCCGCCCGCAAGGATATACCAATGTGTCAGCGGCCACTGGGTATTGAGGGAGCTTTGGGGAGATTAAAAAAAATACCTGTCCATTCTGTCCTAATTCCAGCAGCCTCATACGCTTCATATGCCTTCTTGCTTCAGGTGGAAGATGAATAGCACTGTCAAAAAGCGATGGTCAGCAAAATAAAGCCAAGATAATGGGATCTGCCTAATGAAAGTCAGGGCTAGCACCACCTAGCAGCGTTTTCAACTGTATTCAGTGCTTGTGATGTATTTTGGAAGCACTTTATGTGCATTGCGAGAAAGGTTACTTAAAGAAACTCATTTACATATTTCAGAAATTGTTTCCTCTTTTAAAAAAGTGATTTTAAAAAACATTTTGCAGCAGTAGTTAGTTTCTATTCCAGGTGTGTATGGTTGTGTGCCCCCCCCCCCCCCCTTTTAAAAATAATGTAAACAGATTTAAATATTTCTTGTTTAGGTCACAGAAATGACTTTGGAATTGTCTCTTGAAGTCTGGTAAGTATCTCATGTAAAAATGTATTGGCAGCAAGGGTAATTTTTGTTATATTCTGTTCATTGTATTTTTCTTAAAATCATGTCAAGGAGAGTGCAAAAATTCATTGTTTTAGCATTGAAATACCAAGTACTGAAAAATCAGGAGGCTAAAATTGAAGGTGATTTTCACAAAGTAATTGTAGCATTGGTGTAAATACCAGTATTTATATGAATAGTTGTCCCCTTTCCAAATGTTTGCAGGATCAAGGCAAGGATCAGAGTATATGAGTTTCTCATCCTGACTTACGTTGAGTGGTTTCCGTTCCAAAGGCTCTTCCTCTCATAAACGCATAGACCTCAGGCTCAGCTATTATCCTCCTTATTTTACCTTCTGTGGTAACTTTGCATCTCATGTTAACTTTCAGCGTATATGGATGCACGTTACAAAGCTGTCCCTAAAACGTACTTGAATGCTAATATTCACCATGCAGTATTGAAGTCAAAGGTGTAGATCTCAGCTGGGCCAGGATTTCGCTGTGTATAAAGCTAAGCAGATGCCTATTGTTTTTTCTCTAAGTGTCTTTCTCTCTGTTTCTCAGGCTGTCTAGGCGAAAGACCAAAGATCACCTTGAGGCATCATCAAAAAAAAAAAAAAAAAAAGTCAAAGAGCCAGTTACTGAGAATAAGGCATTTAAAGAGTATTTTTAACTGTAACTATGAATAGCAGCACTAAACATTAACTGTAAATGTGGAACTCTTTAGTAATGATTCTGGAGACTAGTAAACATCCCTCAGGGATAATTTCTGCTCATTGTTTTATAGTAGTAGAGATGCATATGTGGGTGGTCCTTGAGCCCACCCCTAAAACTTCTAGGCCCTGTACCTTTTGAGCATATTTCGCCTGTCTGACATTAAATCAGCGTAAGATGCCTGGCTATGCCTTGCTGCTGGTAGACAGTAGGCATTGAACCAAAGGAACCAGCCAGGTTTGACTCAGTTGGGCTCTGCTAGCCACATGGCTTTTGGAGCGTACTTGGATCTCTAGATCGCAGTGTCATGCGCATCTTGATGGTACATTGCTTCCAGGCTGTCCCCCTTTTTTTTTTTTTTTTGTCTCCCTGTCTTTTTCTTAGTCTGGTCATTTTACTGCCTAACAGTTTGTTAATAACTCTCAGAAATTATTAATTGTGCCTAAATAGATGCATTTCATCACACAGTGTGTCTTTCATAAAGCATTGTCGAGTAGCCGCAAAGACTCTTAGAGTGCTTTTTCGTAAATGTGAGAATTTCAGGGAGACAGATGTCAGGAAGACTTAATATGCTCCTCCGCACTGCCCTCTTCTACAAGCAGTGCTCAAATGAATGACTTGTGCAAGTCTGCGTATGGGAGAGATCCCATTGAATTAAGTGGTGCTCATTCACGAAGTTAGTTTTAAGCATGGGATTACTTCTTGGCTGAGACTTTTGAGGCTTTTTCTGAACACTTTTTGCTTTAAAAAGAAAAAAAGTCACTCAAATTCTAAAACCTTGGAGGTACTGTAGTTCAAACCATGGAATGACAGACAGACTCAATGAGTTAACTAGTCCAGATGAGATAACAGATAAAATTGTTCACCCTGTCTTGTCATATGAAATAAGTGGGAGATGAAGTTGTAGCTTTGCTAAGATCATTTAAGTACAGAAATGAGCCCTGTGTACATTTTGGGTCGCACAATCTGCATAGAAAGCTAGAAAAAGAGCTTTTGTCTCTCCTGTGTTCAATGAGTAAAATTTACTATATTTGATTGTAAGACTGAACGGGCACAAAGTCAAAAGTACCTTCTCCTCCCTTAATAAGAAACTCTTAAGTTCAGAAAAATATATGTTGGTAAGAGTGTATGAACATTTTTCCTTGCAGTTCTTTGTTCAGTGAATAAAGAGGATAAAGAGAGAATTCAAATTTTTAGACTGTCAGTCTTTTATCATATGTGAATGATGAATTCACTTCCTGTATTTTATTTTATTTTTTTTTAAGACCACAGTACACGGCTAGAAGCTGCATACTTTGTCTCATTTTCACTAGTTTGGGAGTAGAGGGGTGGCTATATAAAATTCATATCTTAAAGACATAGTGTGCCATTGTTCTTCACTTCCGTCACTCCATAGAATCACTTGATGCGATTGTGTCACTGGCGTAGCCATAATTTAATTGAGATTTTATGTTTCTTCTCGGGTAAGGTGGTAAGGAATTTACTTCCGTTCATATCCATAGGTGGCTTTTTTTAGTTCTCTTTTGAATTATGCTGTTCGATAAAGCGTGTCCGTTTTGCAAAACAGCTCTTCCACTGATCTTCGATTCAGTATGGCTCTGTGTGATGAGGAGAAGAAATTTCGGCAGCAGCGGAAAGATAATATCATGCACAGTATGAAATCATTTCTAGGAGAAGAAAACAGCAAGAACCTGACCACTTCCCGTGATGTAAGTTTGTAGAGTTCTGATTAATAGTAATTGCACATCAAGATTTGTATCGGTTTTGGAATCCTGCATTTATCTCTCAAAAGAATAAGTAAGCGATGAGGTGAAAGGGTTCAATGTAAAGACAGATGACCAAGCAAAACCATTTTTCCTCTGTGCACGTGCTGTATTGAGGATGGAGAATTTTCCTTGTGCCCTAAACTTATAAGGTAAGGTGGCAAAATCCTGTGCTAGAGTGAAGTTGCACTTGAGTAAGATGTGTTCCATAAAACCAAAAGGACAAAATGGCATAAACGCCACTAGAGGATAAATATGACAGCTTTTAATTTGCACTGACATTTTAAGCAAGTGTAGCTTTGTCCTAATTCATTATTCTTTTTAATCTTAGCAGGCTATACCTAGGGTAAAACGGGGGGCAGAAGGATATATATCCATATTCTTCATTTTGCTCTCTTGCTGAATTCCATGCTTTGTTAAGGTGCTGGTCCTGACTGGAGATCCTCATTTGAAAAATGCATGAAGGGAGTGTGAATTATACGCCATGCAAAAAGTGCAGTGGCTCTGGGCAGGCACGTAACTCTGGAATCCGCTCTTGCACGCTTGACATCCAGCTTGTGCTCTTAAGGTGGTTTTCTCTGTCTGAAGGACAAGGCAGCAAATGAGTAGTTTTAATGTTAGAGTTAGCTTAGAAATGATTTTCTTTCCTTCTGTTCTTCTTTTCCCGTAGGCTGTTTTATAGGATTAAGATTTTGAAGCTTAATTCTTAGAGAACATGAGATGCTACAGCTTCCAATGACTCACTGGGATGCTGGTGCTCTGTAGTTCTGAAAGTCAACCCAACAGAGCTAGATGAACTGATGGTGGTTTGGGTCATATCAAAATGAGGAAGTGTACTGAATCCTACTGATCCTGTCAGTGATTTCATACAGCACTGCTTTATTTTGAGTCAGTTAAGGATACAGTTGGTACAAGTCCACCTATTTGTTTTTTAGTGGCTTGTCCATCTTCTCCTTCCCTCCTTGCTTGTTTCCTGTCCTGTTCTGCTCCCTGAACTCTGACAGGGTGGCTATGTAGGGGAGGTCAAGCAGTGAACTGAATGACTTAATTCGTCTGGGTTAAAAATAACAATTTCTTTGCTGCATTTCAGTATAAGCAGAATGTGATGATCTTTTGCAAAAACTGGAACCAACACAGAGGAATTCCTTTCTAAATTTCAATGAATTTTTGAGCAGAAACTAACTGTGTTATTAATGTTTAGATCTGAGCTTTTTCAGCTAGTGAAATGTGCTAGCGTGAGCTTTCTGAGGAAGGTGAAAGAATCTGAGAAGTATGGTGTGTGTTTCTTCTGCGGTGGTATCAATCACCTACATTGTGAAGGACTATTTGCAATTTTTTTTTTCTTAATTTTCAGTGCAGTTATTTTATTGTTGGCACATGCAGATTTTATCAGAGTAGATATTTGTAGATATCCCCACGTGTACGTCTGTAGATATTTGTAGATATCCACGCGTGTACGTCTGGTCTACCGCAGACAAACATCTTTCTCAGAAAGAATGCAAAGATATTTTGTCACTCTCCAGTTAGGATTGGAGTGATACTCAGCGCCTAAAGTATCTATTCTGTACAGGTGATATGAGTGCATGAATAAAACCTCATTATTGCAGAAGCTAGGTAAGCTTTCATATTCTTTATATCGTCAAATTCCCTCAGTCTCTCTCAGATGCTGAAAGTTCATCAGTTAAGGTGTGTCTTCAAAGACCGGCCAGTAATCTCTGAATGTAGGTTTATGAACCCTAGGAAGGATTTTGGTAATGTGATCCTCCCCTTTTTCACATGCCAAATTTGTAGTTCTGAGCTGACTTGTCAGAATTTTTAGCTGCGTCTAGCAAGGAAAAAAAACTTTTTTGTTCAGATTAAAATACAGTTTTGTCCGTATAACCCATCATTTTTACTTTTATTGCTGCAGATTAGAGATAGGCAGAAGGATTTATGGGATGTCTGTAGTCTTAACATGGCACCAGAAGTCAGGAACCATAAGTATTCTTAGCTGTTTCTGAGTCATTGTTTGATCTTAAACAAGTCACTTACTCAGAGTTCACCTAAGTTTCTCCATCTGTGAATAGCAACACATGTGCCTTGCAGGGATGCTGTGAGACTTAAATACCTGTGAAATAATTATATATCCCTGGATGGGGAGATAAGTGTGTACTTACAAATCTCCTTACTTAACTAGTTTATTTTTATTGCTTTGTTGCTCTAAATTTTCTAAAAATAACATACTCAATTAAAGCAGACATGTAGTTCTCTACAGCTGGATTTGCAGAACAATCTGTTAATGCACATCTGTGTACCCCGTGGCAAATATTTTTAGACCACGTGTATTTTTGTCAAGGTTTTGTACGCTCTGTTTCCAGGGCAGTTGGATAAAAACATCTGTACCGCCCATTCCCATAACAACATTTAATATGTTTTAGCTTTTTTGCCAGGTTGCTGGAAAATATGATTGAGATGATCTTTTTTCAGAACTTGCTTTGCATAAAACATACCTTGTTTCCCAAACCCTTTCCATTTTCATGCCTGGTTAGGCGATTAAGCAAGCAGCTCCTGTTGAAATGAGATGCCTGTTGACTGGAGGGGAACTGTACTGTCTGCGCAGTTACAGCGTCACTTAGATCCTAGTATCACTGTGGATGTATTGACAGGACACTTTATCAAAGTTGTTAAGTCTTGTTCAGTGGAATAAGTCATTTTAGATGATATCGAAGCAGGTTTGTTCAAAACTAGCTTGGGTCCCTCTGTATTGTGCCATGCAGACCAACCATAGGAAAAAGAAAGCCATGATGGCATGGCCTTTTGGTTGCTCAGAAGTGGACGCAAGCGTCCTGAATTAAGTGTGGCAGTATGGCCAAGGGTTAGAGCAGTGGACGCTTGTAGCCAAGACTCTTGAATTCAGTACACGTTTTTACTGTTGACTCACTGCTGACTTGCTGTGAGTCACTTAGCCTTTCAGTCTAAGTTTACTAATCTGCTTGAATGGGTGTTGCGCCTCTGCCCAAATTTAACTGGTTGTGTGCAAAGGGCTAGGGCTGTAAAGTGCCTCAAAGCGGAGTGCGTCAGCCCCAGCCGGTACAGGCAGGGAAGCATGCGTGCCTCCTTCTCCTGCCTCTCCTCCGTTCTTTCTCAGTATCGAGATGGCTTCTCAGTTCTCTTCCCTTTGTCCTCTGCCTGCAGCTCCTTTCCCCTTCCTCGGCACTTATTTATTCTAGAGCAGGACTCTAGGACAGCCGTTTGTGATTTTAACATTTATTATTTCTTGCCTTTAATGCTATTGGGAAGAGAATTGCAGCTGAAAAACTATTTTAACAAACCTATTTGCTTGCATAGTGAGTAAATTGGTAGAGTAAATAATAAAGTAAAGTAAATTAATAAGTAAGTTAGTGCATAAGAGAAAAGGACTTTAATCTTTGTCACTTTGCTTATTATGTCTACAAGTCGGCTTGTATCAGATTGGCTGAAATAAATGAACACAAGCGTGCAATAGATGTTTCTTGTTCAGTGTTTGATAGGTTTATTTACTGTGGGAGCCTTGATTAAGCTACTGAGGATTGACTCTAGAGCTCTTTGGTTGGATTTTATTTCTGTAAACAAAGCAGTGACTTGTAGCCCTTCATACTTTGCTGCTGGCAATATTGTCTTTCTAATCCCATCGCGTTGGATAAAAAAGAGGCAAAAATAACTCCAGCTCAAATGGAACCCTTTTAACCAGTTTTTTGGAATGACAGGCTGGCGTTGCTCTGCACTGTGTACGTCAGAGGTACTGAGGTGAAAGGCGCTAGAGTTTAAACCAAACCCAGATCCTTTTATAAACTCTGTGGCTGACATAGGAATATCAAGTGGTTCCTGTACCTACACAAACTTCTCTGTGTACCCACCATCCCCTACTGCAGGAACCTATGCTTTCTAGGATGTCTGTGGATTACAGCAAGCATTGCAGTCAGGGTGCTAGTGACTCTTCTTGGCTGTGACTCCTATTTACAGATTTCTCTGCATCCTGAAGGAAACTCAGATTTTCCTTTGTGCTCGTGCCACTTTACTGATGAATAGATTTGTTGAATAGTGGTGCTTTGGATGTGTTCTTGCATACTTCTTCCAGGCTTGCACCTGCAGCCACCCTCTGTTCATCCTGTTGGGATTTGCCTGTGTAGATTAATTAAATTGTGTTTGTAAAGAGCTTTCAAAGCGTAACGTACATTAATAAATGCGTGATTAGTAATATGTCTCTTCTGTTCAAAGCAACTGCTCCGTTATTGGGGTGTTGGCTTAACAAAACAGTCACGTCCTAATTTTTTTTTAACTTTTGTTTTGTCATTTCTCGATTGATAGCTATCTCTGGAGTTGCATGATGAATGCTGATGCCCATAAATACCTGTGGCTTCCATTAGTAATGCTTAACACTTATAGAGAAGATGATCAAATGATCTTGTTGGATCAAGAATCAGTATTTTTTGCAGAACGGAAGCCTCAAGATAATTTCCCAACTTATTTGGTCATTGTGCATGGTCATCTCCATGTGGCTGTGTGTGCTTGCAGTCTACAGAGGAGCGTCACTGCTCGGATTACGGAGTCTACAGAAAGAAAGTGAACTCGGTAGTCACATGGGTCCGTTCTCCCCCCGGTCCCTCCCGCCCCCCCCCCTTTTTTTTTAATAACTAATCTGATCCATTACCACCTTAAATAGAGTTTCAGTGTAATTTTTTGACTGACTACCAGTTTGATCAGATGTGGGCTTTGTGCACAAATGTGTCTTTTTTTTTTTTTATGCTCAGTAACAGCAAACAGGTTGTTATCGCCATTGAGCAGTGGAAAATTATTCCAAGATTCTGAAATGGGGAGTGAAATGGACCCCTTGCTTAGATTAAAACACTTGATGATAGCAATTGGATGTTTGTCTTGTTTTGTCTTCTTTCCAGGTACTTGGGGAAGCGATGCAATAGAAGGAAAAGTCTTTTAAATCAAGCCTGGAAAGGCTGAGAATTAAGAAGGAAATAAAATGTAAAACATATCCTGTAGATATGATTTCAATATAGTATTATTTGTAACTGTGCATTTAATTATTTTGTCATCTCTTAGTAGTTGAGGAGGTGTATAGATGCACATCAACTCTTCTCCTTTTTTATAGCTTTTGCAAGGTAGTTTAAGTCTGAGACTGTCTTTAAATTTGTAAATATATTTTTAAACTCCTAACCAAAATGTTATCTATCCTGTTCTGTTTCTGATTAGTAACTCCTACTGCTTTTGACTCTGTTGCACTGATCATCTTTTGGATTAAGGCTGATCCTTGGATTACTTTAAATGTTTCTGTGATTTTTGTAGCTCTCTATATGGTTATTAAATAGCAAAATTTAATCTCTTTTCTGTTTTGTTTATTTCCTGGATTATGGGTAAGCAGGACAGGTATTCTTAAAAGAATTTTGGATGTATTTTTATGCAGATGTCTTGCTACAACTGCAGACTTCTTTAAATACCTTTTAATTCTTCATATACTGAGCAGTTAGAGTTCTAAATAACAGGGTACTGTGGGAGCAACAGCTTACAAATGCCAAGACCTGACTTGATTTATTCAACCAGTATGTAGATTAATTGATTGTACTTTGAAGTCTGGAGTGAGACCACAAGTCTGTGCTAGTGAATTGGACTTGAAGTTCGGTACGTTATTTCAGTGGACTGGAAGCTATGGGGAGTCATAATGATAGTATTTCACTTTTTTCTTTTGACTACTTGACCTGTGGAATCTGAAAGCAGGCATTATCTTTCTGTGGTTTTAAGGAACTGAAAACAAAGGATTCTGTACAGCGATAATGTTACATCATTTGCATTAGGAAATTGTCCCCAAACAGTCTACAGACTTCCTAGATGGCTTGCAGTGCTGCTCTCTAAGCATGTGGTTAAAATTCCCAATGAGGACTAGAGCCAGATCAGGAGACTTCTGCTGGTTGTTTATAGAAAGCTTCACCCACTTCATGCTGTTGGTCAAGTGGTCTGTAGCAGACTGCCACAACATCTCTAGTGTTGATTTCTGTCAGATCTTGACCCAGAAACTCCCAAAAGACATGTCTCTGGTTTCATCCTGAAGTTCTGGGCAGTCAAGGAGCAGCTTTTCATAGAGCTCACCCCTGCACCCCTTCTTCTCTAGTCTTCCTCAGCAGCCATTACCCTCCATGGCAGTGTTCTGTCAGGCGTGCTGACCCAGCAGGTCCTTGTCGTTCCGATCATGCCAAAGACCTGTGACTGCGCGTGAACTTCTAATTTTTTCTTCTTTGATGTCCAATCTGTGCATTAATGTAGGCACGTTTGAGGTAGGCCTCTGAATACCCTTCCTTCTGAGCAGTAACACAGAAGTCTCCCTGCTGGCTTTCTCCTGTGCACGCCTCCTACATTTGCATCATTTACTCACTTTACTCAGTGAAGCTAGTCTAAAGTCTTCCTCATTAAATTACCAGGTCTGTTAATGAAGATGTTTTGTCATTATGTTGGTCAAAAGGATTCCATTTCTTCCCAGTGGACCATCTTCTTCAGCAAACAAGGCTTCATAATCGAGAAGGCAAAGTCTTCCTGGTGATACCACCTGAGTCTTTCCCCTTCCCGACTGGAAGGATCAAGTCCACAGGGTGCAGCGTTGGGCCCTGTCTCCTCTCACTCTTTCTACAAGAGTTGGCAAGGCACCTGCTCGTGGAAAGGGAGTCTCTTGATGCCAGAAGTTGCAAGCTTGCAGTTCCCTCTCTCCTGGGAGTTCATGCTTTCTTCCTACCCTTGTATTTTCTCAGTCATATCTTCTTGCCTGCCTGGGCGCTAGGCACATTTGCCCCTTTTATATCCCCGCATGCTTTGTTACCTCCTTTTTGTTTGCACCTTCTGGTTGCTAATGGTTGCTAGATGCCAGACAATCAGGAAGCTGGAAGGAAGTCCGCTCTGCCCCTCTGTGAGATTTCCTCCTGGGCAGAAGCTCTCATGCCGTCTGTTCGTTCCTGGCTGCGTTTGCTTGGAATTGGCAGTCCCACCACATACTGCCTTCCTCCCCTTCTGCAGACCAAAAGTACTGCTGCTGCCCAGCTCTTGTGTCAAGCAGGAGGGACTGAGTAAATAAGTGACTTACAATTATTGCACATCATTCCTGGGTGCAGAGAACCTAAGGGGACAGTTAACCTCGTGGGATGGCATTGTGGTACTGTGCCTTTCTACTCAGAGAATTTAAAAGTCCTGTTTTGAAGTGCTGTATGAAAGTTATTTGCTGTTCTCTACTACCTGTGCTGCTAAAGCACTGCTAAAATACTGCAGGTATCAAGGATACCTTCTTTTTGACTTGTTGGAACTTTTACACAAAGAATAAAAAATGTGTAGGTTTCATCTCTGCTGTGAGGATCACTGGAGAGTGACTTTATTAATTGTACAAGGCTGGTGCATTTGGGCAGCAGTTGGTGGATAAACTCTATTTACTCCTTTAAATCTATGTCAAAGTTGATGTGATGATTTGTTCTTTTTATCTGTGCAGGTACCAGTGATAGCGATACTGGGTTCAGGTGGGGGATTTCGTGCCATGGTAGGCTTTGCTGGAGTCATGAAAGCACTCTACGATTCAGGAATTTTAGACTGTGCGACTTACATTGCTGGCCTCTCAGGATCTACATGGTAAGATTTATTTTTTCCTTTTGTCTGTCTTCACTTTTTGTTCAGAAAATTCAGGCAGGAATTTTCGTGACAGTTGATGACTTTATTCCTAAGATTGTGATTCAGAGTAAATACATATATGAATGTATATACACACACATATACACACACGCACACTCTACCAGGAGGGACTATGCACTAGATATCTATATCTATATATACACTACTAGCACGGGAGAGACTTCCTGAGCCAGCTGTCTGGCAGTGTGGTAGGTCAGGAGAGCAAATCCTCTGGTGGCAGAGTTTCAGAATGCCTGGGAAAGTGAGGACAGCTCAGACTCCAGTTGGTCTCCCTAGGAGCTTTGATAGCGGGAATCAATGAAAAGAGGCGCTACACGTATGCGGCCTCTTCCCAGTATCAATGGCCAATATTATCCTTTGTAACTGATTTTTTTTCATCTTGGTGACTGAACCAAAAACATTAAGAATTCAAGTTGTTGATACACTAGAAGTATTTTTGCTTTGTGTTATTTTCTTCCAAATGAAATGAAAAAAAAAAAAAAGTCTTTTCAATTTGAGGATGATTAATTCAACCTAAAATGTATATATCCTAAAATGAATATATCCTTTTGGGACACTTCTCAAAGATTTTCAAAATCTTGAAAAAGATCTTCTGCTCCATTTTAGACTTGGTAGTTCTTTGCTTAGTGGATTTACCCAGGATGTGCTCTCTGATGCTTTCTCAGCTTTCCTAAAGTTGAGCAGGTGTAGTTGAGCAGCTTGTAAGGAAAAATTCTCATTGCCATGCTGCAGGGCATCCAGGTACGGATTGCCTTGTATCATTCCTGTTGTCACTGTTTCATTTTGTTATTCAGTCATTTAGTTCATTTGTCATTGTACATTGTTTATTAAAACAGTTCGTCAATCAGATGGGGAGGAAGCGTCTTTCAGGACGTCTCAACCTGAGGGTGTCTTTCTACCTGACTCAATGAATGCTTTACGCCATAAAGAGAAACAACCGCAGGAGAAAGTAAGAGTGACGTTGCTGTGTGAACGGCACTCTCTGGACATTATGGGGTCGAGGCTTTGTAGGCAGCAGAGGGATTTGAACCCCAGAAGTACGTCTGCCTTAACCACTTTTGTGAATAAGGGTTTCTCTTCTCTCCGTCCAGCATTATGAACCTAGCCTTTTATCTCCTTGGCCTTTATGAAAATTGCCCCAAATTGCACATATTACAAATGTTGAAGCTTTTTATTTTGATATTTCTTAAATGAAATGATCTAAAATTTTTAACAGCTCTGTGATTTTCATCAGCGGAAGACATCTGGCAAATTCAAGCCAAATTTCTTAAATGATTGGCCTCCTTAACACTGCATTTTTCATTCATGGCAGAACTTTTTTCGTCTATCTTTAAACCTTAATTTTAATGTCAGTGGTTGCAGTAGAGAATGTTACAGCTTTAAGAAAACGTTGAACTTTTCAAGGAAGTATCGTAACTGTCACAAAATATCATTTTTATCATAACCAGTACTTTCTGTATCGTAACCGGTTTGAATATTGAAGGTGTACATCGAGTAATGAATCCAGTTTAGGGCCACAAGAAAGGTGTTGACAATCTGGATGAATTCCATCAGAGGACAATGAAGATAGTGAGAGGTGATGAGGAGCACGTGGAGGCTGAGGAACTGGGTTTGTTTAGAGTTGAGAAAAGGAGGCAGAGAGTGGGGAGGGGTTGGAACCTAATTGCTGTCTCCAGCTACCTAATGGGTAGTTGTAAAGACGACAAACTCTTTTTGGAGATGCACAGGGAAAGGACAAGAGGTAACAGCTGTGAGCTGCAGCAAGGAAAATTTGGTTAGCTATTACAAAACATTTTGTGCAATGAGCGTGGTCAAGCACTAGAATGGATTGCTGCATCCTTACTTGACTGGACTGCATAAGATGTCATACTCTTTCTGTCTGACTCAATGAATACTTTATGGGAAATGAATACTTGACTGGACAAAACCTTGAGCAACTTGATAGGTCTTTTAAGTCGCTTTTACTTTGAGCAAAAGATTGGACTACAGATCTCAAGCTTCCTTACGGTCTAAATTATCCTACGATCCTACGAACTTCTAGTTACTTTGAGACTGAGGGAAAAAGACTTTCATTGGAATAGGTAAATATCTATGAGCAGGGAATCTGCCTGGGGTGAATTTTATACTCTGGTCTAACTCAGAGCAAGAACATGAACTTTGGTTTCTCCCATTCTAAGGAAAAAAATCTAACCTCAAAGTTTTTGACTCTTTTGGAACAGATGATAAACACTTCTATTCCTTGATTTTTTTTTTTTTTTTTTTTCCCCCCAAATATGTTTCAACTCCCCCCGCCCCCCGATTCAGAATGCCAGAATTTCTATCAGCTAAGAAAGCATTTATTTAGATTTAACTACAAAAAGTTAGCATCACCAGAAACATATTTCTGGGGGATTTTCTCTATGCACTGATGCTCAAGGGGAGGGACCACTGTCAATATTAAGAGATCTGGATGTACTTTTGTCAAATTTGCAGCAAAAGTGGCAGATCTCATTTGACTGGATTAAGAGGGATTGAGTAGTGCAACACAGCGTGAAAAATTTTCAGTGAGTTTCTAGGGAATGGTGTATAGTCCATGTTCTGAAAAGATGTCAGTCAGCTGCGCATAACAAGAACGTAACAAGAATTCCAGAAAACCAGTTCATCATCATTCCACTTCTTAGTGACAGTGTACATACAGGATTATTTTTCGTACCTCAACTAGCTGGGCAGAGTAATGGAACATGCCCTTTTCAGCCCTCTTGCTTTATTTGGAGACTGACTTTAGTTAGTCAAGCTATTCTTGGTGAACAGGGAGTTTTGGTGATATATTGACTCAGTGTAAATCTGTAGAATCTGTGTTAAAATAGCAAGATGATGTGAACTGATCTAACCGGAAACATATGCTGAAAAAGTTTGTTTTTAAATAAATTAGCTTTTTCTATCTTGATGATGTCACCTCTTCAGACTTTCCTTGCTTGATGAATAAATAAATTAACACTTTGTCACTCCCTTTCTTTTCTTTTTTCATGCTGTCTATTACTTGGGAATAATGCACTTTTTTTTTTTCTTTTTTCCTTCTGAAGGGTGGAGTATTCCTTTCCTGCAGGGAGAAGCAGGTTTCTGCTTGTTCACTGATGCATGCCTAACCTTGGAGCAATGCATTTGCCTCCCTGACTGTTTCAGTCGGCTTGCTTCAACCTTGCGCTGAATTCTTCATACTGCATTTTCCTTTCTCTGCTCACGTGGAAGCTTGCTGCTGTTCTTGTTCCACCCAGGAGTTGACGTGCATGCTAAATGCATTGCTTTAGAGCCTGTGCAAGTGCTAATGAAGCAGCTTCTTGCATCAAGCATGTGACAAGGTTCGTCATACCTCCAAGTAAATCGCAGAGCAGAGATCTCGGAGCCGAGCTTACACCGTGTGTACCTCGCTAGTATACAGAGATGTAACTGCAGGGTAGTATGTATAGCTGAGCCAGCTATTTGAGCAAATAATAGTGAAATGAGCCTCCGGGAGGTTAGGACAGCCAATCATGAATCTTCACCCATAGTGTCACTTAAGCCAACATGCTTGTCTATACGTGTGTCTATGCTTTGTTTTTGGTGAGTAAGCAGAGTTTCCAGAGTTACTTAATGATAAAACCAAGTGCTGCCTGGTATGCCTCAAACTCGATTAAATCTCTGCACAATTAGAATTATTGTGCTTCATCCTAGTGTTAAAACTTGTAGATCCTGGAAAGTATGCTAATATATTTTAGGAATTTTTGAATAATTATAATGAACTGGAGAGTGTCCTATGTGTGTTTGCTTATGGAATCCCCAGTCTGCCAAATTTAGGTGTACTGTGACAATTTGAAAAGCTGTTTTTCCAGCTTATGATGATTCTGTCCGTTATCTCTTAAATAGGTAAAAGATGAACGCTTTATTTATTTATTTATTTTTTTTTGACACACGATGTAGGTGTTTGTGGAGTGTTTGATTGTATGTACACATTTAGGTCAAATCATTTCGCTTTCTATGCCTTGACAAAAAGAAATGACAATTCTATACTATATAAAGGATGGCTAAATTACTCTGATTTAATCAGCAACATATTATATCAAATTATTTATGGGCTTATTGTACAGTTCAGGCAGATGATATTGAACTAGGCTTTGATGCTTACGGGAGCCTGTTTTCAATGGCAGGTACATGTCGACTTTGTATTCGCACCCGGATTTCCCAGAAAAGGGACCGAAGGAGATTAATCAAGAACTGATGAACTCTGTCAGTCACAACCCGCTCCTGCTGCTCACTCCTCAGAAAGTCAAACGCTACATTGAAGCCCTGTGGAATAAGAAGAGCTCAGGGCAGCCTGTCACCTTCACCGATATCTTTGGAATGCTGATAGGTGAAACACTCATCCATAACGTGAGCGCATTTTTTTTATGATCACTAGAGTTGTGAAACTGTTGTGTAATAATGTCTATCAATGTTTTCTTTTTTTAAATGACCTCGGTAACATTTTACCAAGCCCATTTAGCACTAGGAATACTACATAAGGAATGTGGAAAATGCCTTGCTTGCTCTCGGATTGAGTATCATCCATGACAATTACCACTTAAGCAATTTCAAAGAAAAATTTACAGGATGTTGTAACCTCTTTATGTACATTTTACTATAAGAAAAGCAGCATTTGCTTAACAGGACATTAATATCAAGGTCAAAGACCAGACGCACATCTCTATCACTAATTGTTTTTCTGCAAATGACACAAAGAACAGCGGGGTTTTATACAGTTAAGTTTATTGTCCGCAAATCCTGTTCGACTGAATCGGGTACAGACTGTCTAGTTCAAGCGATTCAGATAAATAGAATTTACCTTTGATCTTATTGCATGATTGCAATGTGTTAATAGATTCACAGACTTGTTTTATATGATTTTGGATATCTTGAGTATACATTTCCATTAGGTTTTAAACACCGTAAAATACTGAAAATCAAGCAAGTGACTTTCAGTAGGTGAGATATAGGGTGAGTTCCCCACAGCGAAGGTGTGTTAATGATCCTGTGAGGGTGATTGGAAGTTCCCATTTGCTAAGGAGTTAAACCAATGCTCAGATGTTTTAGCTTAATTCTGAACCTGATGCAGTCAGTGGAAAAAATGGAAATAAGGCTCTTGGTTATTCACAGATAACATTTTTTTACTACAATTATATCATGATGATTTTCAATCTTTTTGGGAGATGCAGATTTTTGGTTAGCAAATGTAAGCGTATTAGTAGTCTGTTTGCTTTTCTTGGTCATCTTTGACTAATAAGAAACATCACAGATTGAAAATCATTACATGATCGTTAATGGTGGCTCTAGCTAAAAGAATATTCTAGGGGAAGAACTTGCTTTGTCCAACAATACCGCTTTCTTTTCGGTCACGTTACCTTGGATTGCATAAGATACACTTATTTCATCTTCCTATAAACTCTTCTCTGGCCCCTTCCCTCCCAAACAATGTTGTTGGCAAATCTATCCATCTCAGATGTGGAAAGAGTTCGGTGAACGTGAAAGGAGAACATCCATGCTTTAGACATCTACAGCTTCTGTTTCCTTGTGTTTGCATTTATTGTGCAAATAGAAGGCATTCAAGCAGATTAGTTCCTTTTACACGTTCTTCTGCTCTGTTTTTCTTGGAAGGAACTAAACTTGTCTTTTTTCCTCTTTTTGAGGATTTTGGAGAAATGAGTAGTCTCCCAAATATCAGCCCATGATATCTCTCTTGGGTGCTTCTGTATGATTAGTTTGGACATACCTTCTTTCTTTTCATGCAGAGAATGGATACCACTTTGAGCAAAATGAAAGAGAAAATCAATAACGCACAGTGTGCTCTCCCACTCTTTACATGCCTCCATGTCAAACCAGATGTCTCGGAGCTTATGTTTGCAGGTATGTTTTTCATCTGTGTCTTAAGTCATTTGTCAAAAAAGGAGTGCTTGGCTGGAAAAAGGTCTATTAATACTTCTGGGAGTAATTACATTCTGCAGCTTGGATACACTTTGAAATTATTTGTCCCATTGCAAGAATTATGGAAGAATTTGGCATGAAATAAAACATTCTTTAGGGTTTAGCAAAATTCGCAGTATTACGAATGGAGTACAGGGAGATGTTGAGTTTAAAAAAAGAGGAAGGGTATGTTGCGGGGTGTGTCGGACAGGCACACGATAAGGACAGTTGAGGGGCTTTAAAAGGCGATGGGGAAATGGAGGCTTTTGTGCTGAGCAGCTTCCGGGGATCTGACAGTAGAGCCTGATGACAGATCTACTCAGGGGTAGTGAACACGTAGATAGGTGGACACTTATTTGGCTGGTGCCATATATGGGCACTGGTCTTTATCTTTTACAAAAAAGATTTACTACCAAAGAAACGAGTATTGCTTATCCAGCAAGTAGCTGAGTACCTTACAGGAGTCGAGAAAATTAGAAACCTAAAGTTTCTCTGCAACATCAAAAGGATGCTTAACATTAGCCTATCAAACAGGTAAAGGGAAATGTTTTCAGTCAGCCAGGATTATTTGTCCCTCTAAGAAGAGAGAGATTAGAATTGAACGAACAAATCAGATGCACCTTTTTAAAACTTTTTTTTAAACTTTTTGCACAGTGTAAAGTACTATTAGCGTCATAAAAAAGAGAGTTTGTTTTTACTTGTGTCAGATTTTCATCTCATCTATTAGCCACAATTGAGACTGGGATCCAGTTATACTAGATGCTGTACAAAGGGAGTTTTATATACAATTATACTTATACATTTTTTTAAATATATATTTAGTTTTATATGAGCCTGAGGGGGAAGCACCAAGTGGCTTGCCCAAAGTTAAGAAATCAGACATTGTCTGTAGATTTCTTGAAAAGAATATTTGTTGCTGTCAAAGTTTTGTTCATAATGGAAAATAAGGTTGTAAAGTAGATTAAATTTTTAATGGTGAATGGCTGCTTTTCTCCTTAGAAGACTTGAACCTTTTCATTTGAAAAGGTTTTTCATTTGAAATCATTTTAATTTGAAAATGGAAGTATTTTGCTTTTTTATGATCTTCTATTTTCTGAGGAATTTTAGGTGGATTCTTCATTTGCTGTTTTCAAAATGAAATGATCTTTAGTTAACATAGGTCTTCTCTATATATGTTCAGTAAGGCCTGATGCTCCTGAAGACTTGTCTAATTTCTCCAGCCTTTTGGCTGGACCAGTTAGACCAATTGGTCTAATAAAAGACCAATTGCTCTTGCCGATTGATCTTGATTTTTCCTTTTCTTGAGACTATCACCTTTATCAATTATACTATATCCTGATTGTTCCTACTGTAAGCTTTTTTTTCTTCCTTTTAGAATTGAACAACTGTTCTTGATGTGAAATATATAGTAAGTTTTAAACAGAAATATTTATACTTTCTTATGAGATGACAGATATGGGTGAAATCTTTCATGTTGTTTCATGTTGAAATGCATTAATGGCATCAGATAACGTTCTTGCACCATCACTCCTGGAAGGAAGGATTTCATGCAGCTGCTAATAGCTTTCGTGCCCCAGGCTCTGCATGTTTTCACTATCAACAGTATTTTTGACCCTGGTGGTGCTGGCTGTACTCAAAATTTCAGCAGTTGTTATAACTGAACATAATTACTGTGATTTACTTAAAGAAAGTTTTTTGTTGTTTGTTTTTCTTTTTTAAGATAGCTTGCTTATTAATAAGAAATTACCTGAAGATACTGATGTTAAAAGGAGGAGTGGAATTTAATGTTTGGCTTTGGTATTGCCATGTTTCTATCCCCCTAACAGCCTCACTCACCAGCTTTCCTTCTGCTCCAATGCCGGACCAGTCAAAAACCTGGATTTTTGGCTTTTGCGCTTAGTAAACCTAAGGCAGCTGCAGAATTCATTTGGGAAGCAGGGCTGTCTGCAGATGTGGATCCGTAGGACTCATATCCCAGGCCCAGGTTTCAGAGGGCTCCTTCGGTCGGAGCACGGTTGGCCGGATAAATCGGACGTATTGTGTTGGTTACGGGCTGTTGATCTGCCCGCACGTAATGACACGAGATGGTCGAGTGAATCAGGTCTCACTGTTTGGGTGGTGTCTGTGCACGTATGTTCCCTGTCCTGACTCTGCCCAAATGCGTAATGGTGGGAGAACTTTTTCTGCCTTTCCTCCCGAGAACAGGGGAAGTTGTCACCTCTTCAGCTGGTATGAATCAACATAAAGAGCTATGTTCTGACATACTTCAGGGCCACATCCAAAATGCAGTGAACACAACTGAGACTTCTAACTTAGTACGTTTTGGATTAAGCCACAGCCAAGGTACTAATCCAGTGTATTGTGACAGAAACACCTTGAAAAGATATTTGAAATAGAGACTTAACAATTAAGTCTTTCTCTTGATATAGGGTTCCACTCTCAGTTTCTGTTCTTCAAGGAGAAGCTTGTCTCTTGGGACAGACTGATTCCAGTCCTGCCCATTGAAACGGCTCCGATCTCTAGGAGCCCGAGGAAAGACAGAAGCCGATGTCAAGTCCTTTATTTGTAAGGCATAAATCAGCTTATTTCCCGAAGTTGGGGATCTGAGTTGAGAAATTGTCTTCCTTTATGCAAATATGAAAATGGACTATCACAGTCCATTAATAGAAATTAATTCTATTCCTAAATTTAGTATTGCTCTTAAAAACCTGGTTCTGCAATAGGCCTGAAAATTAGACTGCCAACTCCTGCTTACAATCCTTAAAGGGAAGTTCATTTAAATTCCTGGTTTTGGTCTTTAAAGGAATTTCCCTCCATTCTAACAAATATGAACATTTGTGGGTGACCTGTTTAGAAAACAGGGTGATTGTATTTGATTTAGATTAGAACAGCATCAGCCCACAAAACGAAACTCAGTACTCATGAGCAAATCTTTCCTTTTCAGGATGAGTTGTTAACCTTATCGTTCACATTTTAACAGAAATGCTGAATATTTTGAGAATAGATGGCATCTTATGACTTGCTGGAATTTTTCAAAGATGTTTCTTGTGCTTTTCCATTTAAGAATTATTTCTGACTTATTTATAGAGTCGGTCAAATTGATCATTACTAAAAAATTGGAAAATGGATGAACGGGTGAAAAATTAAAAATGTTGGATATTTTTTGTTCCTCACAGTTTACTTTTTGAAGTGCATTCTGTGATGTGAACGACTGCAGTGGTACCAAAGAAAACGTTTGAAAGCAGCTAAAATCCTTTTTCAAAAAGGCATTCATTATAGAAAGTGCATTTGAACATTATACTACGTCCTTTTATTGAGTTCTCTACCCAATAAGATGGCATGTCCTTTTAAATTTATGTTTACATCATTTGGTTTTGATAAGGTTTTCAACCGCCTCTCAGCTTTGCCTATTCTTGTTTTATTTTAGTGGAAACTAACTTTAGTTTTTGGTGGAATCCACATGCCGCTTCTGGAATCTTTCCTCAGCTTTTGTGATGTTAAATACTTTTTCTGCCTTCTGTGTCACCGTCCTCCACGTTTTTAGCAGGATCACAGTGAAAGGAAAAAGCCTTGGAACTTAGACCCGTGCCGGCACTTTGCGCGACAAGGGATCGCACTGAAACATGAGATGAAAACCCAATGTCGTTCTGTGTGTTTCTCGTTCACAACTGCTACTTTTTTACTTCTCTTCTTGCAATCTCATGTTTTTCCACCACTGTCTGTTGCAATAAGAGAGAATGAGACTTTCTTCTTTGTTTTGACATTAGACTTCATTTGAAATCAGAATTTTGCTTCTGCGTAACCGAAGAGAGCTTTCCATAAGCTCATTGGTTATGTAGCTTGCTATTTAGCTATAATTTCTTTCCTTGGACAAAGGTTCCAGTCAATTTATGTATGTTCATCCTCTGTTTCTATTCACAGGTCCTATTCAGATTGAGATTACTAACTGAGCGAGTTATTGTTATTGTTATTTCTTCTTTTGCAGATTGGGTGGAATTCAGTCCATATGAGATTGGTATGGCAAAGTATGGCACTTTTATGTCTCCTGACTTGTTTGGAAGTAAATTTTTTATGGGGACAGTAGTGAAGAAATATAGTGAAAATCCCTTGCATTTCTTAATGGGTGAGTATGTGACAGAAAGGCACTACTAAAATTAGTTGCAGTATTCTGGCGACAAGTGCTTTTAAATGCAATCACAAAAACTGTGAAACAACAACTAGAGTTCTTGTTCTCAGTTGGCTAGAAGACATCCATTTGAAAGATTCCACAGACATGGATGGCTATTTCATGTTTTTTTGGCAGCTGGTGTGTACACCTGAGTTTGACTTGGCGTGTTCCAAAATCCAAATTTTCAGAGGTGTGTTCAGAATGCAAGTTACTACTTAAATAGTGGAGCATATGTTTTTCCTTCTACCAGCCTCCATTCACCGTTTCTTTTTTTTCCTTTTCAGGCGTCTGGGGCAGTGCATTTTCTATATTATTTAACAGAGTGCTTGGAGTCTCCAATTCTCAAATTAAAGGTCCCACCATGGAAGAAGAATTAGGTAATATTAGTAAATAATTGTACTACTAAGCAAAACAATTGCTAGAAAGACTCAGTGAACTCATTGTGTTTGTGGCAGGATGGCAGTCTGCTGTTAATCGTTTTAGGAGTGCATACTTCGGGTAACTAATTGCTGGCATCATCAGATGCTAGTGAAGTCAGGAAAAGAGAATCAGTAATTTCCTTTTCTTTCTTTCACTTTTGTTTCCGATTCGTATAAGAGGTACCGAAAGTCATCTCCATATATCCACCAACCGTTTTCGTAACGGAAAGGTATGATTCCAGCTCCCTTTTCCATGATCTTGTGCTAGCTTTTGGAGTTCAAAAGCTGACAAGTACTTGATAGTTACTCGTGTAGTGTCTTGACGCTAGATTGGATTGATCAGGGGATTAGTCAAGTGAAAACAAGGCTTTTCTTTTTTGGATTGTTAGATCTACTCCATTCTAACCACAAGTCATCTGTTGTTACCCGATGACTCCTTGGCTTGTTAATTTAATGATTTCTGTTCCATTCCTAATGCACGAAAGTAAAAACAAACTGTAAGGAGAGAGCTGTAGCTTGCTATGCGTAGACTTTGTTTTTGTTTTAGAATGCATTTGATAATGAAACAGTTTCTTCATACTCAGAGGAAGGCTTTGCAGGGAAATACAATTAAAACAGTAACTAAATTGTACTAGACAGCCATTTTTTTTTTCAGCTGTAGCTTTCTCCTAATGTATTATTATGAGAATACATGTACTTATTTATGGATGAAAAGGAGACCTGAGCCTTAAGGTTCATATATCTGATATATATCCTAACTGTTAATGCCTTCTGATTGGGAATATATTTGAGTAAATTTGATAGTTAATAGAAATGTCTACCTTATTGCTTTTTTTAAGATGTTAAGAGAGAGAATTTTATGCCCCAGCTCTGGCTAAAGTCCCTATTCATTTCATATCTAATTTAAAAAATATTCTCTAAACTGGGAGTCAAGATGAAAGTGCTGATGAGATTTGAACCACAGTCTATTAGCATAACTGTAAACTTCCCAATGAAATCTTGGTATGACCAGTCAATGGCAAAATACTAGCGGGTGGCAGAAGACCGACAGTTTCACACAACATGTATGTTATACCTATAAGCAGTTAATAATCACTTTGGCATGGAGTTTCCTTTAAAGAGATGATCTGATGTCCAAAAATTGCTTTTTTTTTTTTCTTAGTTACCTTTTCTGCTTGCCAGTTTTTTGTTTTTTTTTTTTTGACCTGTGTCCTTTGTCATCGCTCAAGAATTTGTATGTTTGTCCTTGTGCATGCTTGTCCATTGATGGTATTTGGATAGGGTTTGAGGACTCCACGGAGGTTTTGATACTTCACGGAGCATCAAAAAGTAAAAATATTTAAGGAAAAATATGTGACGACATACGTTTCTGTGGAGATTTTTAGTCTTGTAAGCCCAAGAGGGCATGGCCTTTTTTTAGAAAAAAATCAGCAGTGGTGGTCATCTGTGTCTGGTGTTCCTTACAAAACTTAATAAAGCTATGTATTTTTTGTGCTTGGTATTATGGTGAATCTCTTTTAATCAGCCTTTCCCTTTCAGTCAAACATGCCTATAGGCCGCTCATAAAACACTGAAATTCCAGAGAGTTTCAAGAAACACTTCCCCACATAATTTTAAACATAAGTGATTGCTTCCTATGTAGTATCAGAAATACTTAGAGAAAATAATATTGTCGATCTATAGGACGTTTTCACATGAATTCACCTCCATTACAAACCTTGCCCGAGAGTGGAATGTGCTGCTCTTTTGGTATTCATTTTGGCTTTGAAGTAATTGCTTGAGATAGTAACGAATGGTTTCAGCCTAATTTTGTGGTTATTATGGAAGCACAGCTGTTAACCCTAACGAAATACAGACTTTTTTTCGGAGAAGTTCATTCATTTCTTTTTCTCTCACTTAATGGTACGAAATATACACTTGTCTTTTCTACTCAGTGTAACTGCTTTGGCTTTTATTTTTCACACACAAAACTTTCATAACCATCTTGGCTGTTGTTTTCCCCACTATTTTTAGAGGTACGTGCTCATATGTGTATGAATAAGGTTAAGGGTTCCTTTTTTTTTTTTTTCCCTCCACTCCAAGTTAGTACTGAATTAACAGATCTTTTGTCTTCCTAGCTCCTTAGGAGTTGCTCAGAGGACAAAGGCTTTACATCTAAATTTTAATCAATGTGAATAAGATGTGTCAGATATGTGCTGCTTTAGGCTTACCTTTCATTTTCTCAGCCCTCTGGTTAATCTGCTTAGTGCACAAACTTTATGACATTTCCAAACTAAAGCTGATAAATTCTAAGTATACATGTTCATGAACAGATCACGTCTCTTCAGCTCACTGAAGAGCTGAAGCTTTCCCTTACGAAGACTATGATGGTTCTACGCCTCAATGGTTTTGAAATTCTTAGCTGTACTCACATTTAACCCCAGCAAATTAAAGTCATTTTTTATTTTTTTCAACAGAGAATATTAGGCTAAAGCACCTTGTGAGCAATGACAGCTCAGACAGTGAGGATGAATCACAGCATCCAAAAGGTAAGGACATCCCCTCATTTTATTTTGTAATTTACTTTCCTCTTCTATTCTGCTTTCTCATAGCAGATTCAGGTTTGTAGGTACTGGTTATCAGCCAAATCTCATATTTCTTAGTCTTATCAAAGGTCTCTTTTAGCTCTGCTGTCATTTGTACCGATGATAAAACTTCATTGCCCAATGATCTTAAAGGATCCAATGGCTCAGCAAAATAGAGAAGTCTTGAGACCTCAGAAAGGCCTTTGGCTTGACTTCACACCTCCTGCTCAAGCTGATGATCAGATGATTCTCTCGTGCAGATTCAGTCTTGGCATCAGCCTGACAGGACTCCATAGTGGTCTACAATTTCATATGCATACAAAAATTATACTTGATGAGCCACTTATCTCGAAGCTCATTGCTAGCAAGCTCCTGAGCTCACAGGCCTGTATGAATTGTAACCAGCGCAGCATACTAACACTAACCATTATTTTCAAGGGTCCTTGATCAAATATTTACTTGGGAATGGTTTACTGTGTGTTTCCGGCTTTCATAGATATCTGCTAGCACCTGTACAATTGACACCTGAAACAGGAAATTCCTGGTGTTTGGCACAGCATTTTAAAAAATGCTCCAGTCTAATTTCCCAGGAGAGGCATAAGCATATGTGGAATGTTTGCCTGTGGGAAGAAAAGATCGTATTGAAAATGATATTTAGGCACCTAAATCACTTGGGGATGTCTGATCTTAGTTAGTGTCTCTGCCTCATCCTAATAAAGCTTTCTGTATTTGTTACTTCTGGGGACAAGAGTGATTGCTTCACCTGAAAAAATTGTCAGTGCTTTTAACAACTGAAGCAAAGAAGAGAATGCAGCTTCTTTATAATTTTAAATCTTGCAGGAAGAAAAGAAAATCCTGTGAAATGAGACAGTGAACTGTGTAACTAGCTCAGCAGCCTGATAGCTCCTTCGCTTTCTCTTATGTGTAAAATAATAGGTAAAAGAGTGATATCACGTTTTGTGTTTCTTTGTCAATTTCCTGGTGGACCATAGCCACCAAGAAACACTAAATTTAAATCTGTGATTTACAAGCACTTGATAATCTCTCTCATTTCCATGGGATATGTATATACAGATGATGTACCTCAAACTCTTTTGTTAAGAGCCTGGATTAAAGAGGCACATTTCAGTGCTGGATTGTACTTTTTAGTTTACTAAAACCAGATATTTATTGCACTCTAAGTTTACTGAAACGTTATTTTCAGATAGTTTAAAATCCCCATGATACGGTTTTCTCATTTATGCAGATATCGTAGAATTTAACATTTCATTGCATATCTCTAACTTTATGTATACCCCTGTATCCCTTTTGACTGTAAAGAATACATCTGAATGCGTGACTGGCAGCAATAAGGAGTCTTTAGACAGGTGTGAAGTGGTGATAATGTATTTTTGAGCACAAAACCTCCTAAATGCAGCACTAGTACCGTGTCTCCATCTAAAAGAATGGTATTTGCCAAGCACACAGCAAAGGTGTGTGCTAAGGAAAAGCCCAGGAACGCTCCTATAAAGGTTCAGAGGATTAACTTTGCCCACTTGAGCAAAAAAGGGTTTCTGTCAGTCAGCAAAGGATGGAGAAGGGTATTAATGCACATATACACGAAAATAGGTCTACACAGTATGGATCCATACATAGTATGGATCTTAGCAACCATATGTCCTGTGGGCCCAGAAGGGTTTACATTTTGGCTACTAGAGCAGGCTAAAGCCATGTCTATTTGCTTTTGCTATCCAGACTAGCTAAATCCAGCTCAGGTCATCTAACAGTCTGAATCTGTTTTCCTATATAGACACATCCACGTTATTGTACTGCAAATGAGAAGGTTCACTGGCCTGTGAAGATATAAGAGGGCTATAAGAGGGTTATCTCTGTTCCTCTTGAATTCTTGCAACAAAGCTCCTTCATTCAATCCACAGCTTCTTGAAAGAAGGTTATGACCCAGGTCCTCTCGTTTTAACAGGTCCTTGGCCTAGAAGTCTTTGTTTTGTGCTTCAGAAATTAACTGTCTCACCACTGGGTTGCTTTCATTTTCTCTGCAGGGACTGAAAATCCTGAGGCAAACCAAGCATATCAGAACAACAGCCAGGAAAGCTGGGTGCAGCGAATGCTGATGGCTTTGGTGGGTGACAGTGCCCTTTTCAATACCAGGGAAGGGCGTGCTGGGAAAGTGCACAACTTCATGCTGGGACTGAACCTGAACAGTTGTTACCCGCTCTCCCCTCTGGCAGACCTCCTCACTCAGGAATCTGTGGAAGAAGATGAACTGGATGCAGCCGTTGCAGGTTAGTCTGAAGAAAGTCTGTGCGCTGCGTATTCATTAATAAAACCAGAAACTGGGAATTCCTTGGTTGACTACATTTACTCGAACCACGATGCTTAGAAGTGCATATGCCTGAAGGAAGGCAGGAGAAGCTTTCTATAGTGGCAGTCGTCAGTATTGGTAAGCCCTGCTCTAAATGAGGGCCTGTGTTGTTCTTTTATTTGTCTTAAGTCTTCTGGTGGAAATAAAACCTTTGCTTTTCCTGCTACAGTGCTTTCCTGTTCGAAAAATGCTGTAGCTTATCTGCCATCTTTGTCTTTCTCTGAAAAACCTGTGGAGAGAGCACACTTACTTCTCTTCTTGTAGATCCTTGCTTTGCTGACACTATATTCTTCCCAGCGTGACCGAGCTGTCAGATGCATCCACACTTCATATTGGCGTAAGCAGGATGCAGGACCACTGATGGCCAACCCGAGTTCCAGAAAAATGCTGATTTGTAAGAGAAGTTCAACGTCTTTCCCTCCCTCTGTGAAGTATCTGGGCTGGGACAATAGCTGCAGCTGTATTTGTGACAGAGAATGAGGAATCACGTTTGATTAGTATTTTGAAGATTTCCTATAGATAGTTGCGATTACCTCTTGCTCAGTGAGAGCCCATGAATTTCTGAATATTCTTCTGGCACTGGTGCATTTCTTTTTTCTTCCGCGGTAGGCAACGAAGCACTGAGTTAAGGATCTGACTCTCCCTATGGAAAAGGTATGTCACAGTGCAGATACATCCTTGGTGAAGCCTCCACGTACAGTTTCTCTGATATAAACTGTAGTGTTTGTGGATGCTACCTTCAAGCTGAGGAACTACAAACCTCTGAAAGTGGTGTCCCTTGCATGTTCCTGTGTAGTGGCACTGCACTGCCAGCCAGCCCTCATAATAATAATTATCACTTCAACCCTTATGCAGAGAAAAGAGGTTGTCCTAGTTGGTCATTATGCAATAGCGAATACGAGATGTCGTTTAAAAGCTTAAGTAGCAGACGCTTTTTAATGTGTATTTGTTACTGTAACAAATCCCTCTGAGTGGTTGTATAGTAATTTCCATCTGCACTCCACTTTCTAAATATTTTCATCATCTCAGAGGTGTTTACAGCTGCGTAATCCTAATATTTACAGTGGTTGTAAAAGAGGCAGGAAAGCGGGTAGCGGATTTATGGCTGGAAAAAATGACATTTGACGAGAATTTTGCATAATTAAGATATGTGGATAATCTTCAGAATCAATTGTCAACTTCCTGGGTTTAAATTTGAATTAAAATAAAATGCTGGTTTGACAGAATGAGCCTGCTTCTCTGAGACAGTTAAGTTTGAGTATCGGTCATCTGGGATTTTTCTGGCTAAAAACATTTGACAAAAGTTTGATATAACTGCAGTTTTTCAGCGTTAGCTGAAGCCCACGCTCATAAACCTGGACTAACAACTCTAATCTAGCGACTGTGAGTAGTCTCAGTGTTATGGTCAGGAGTAGTAAAAAACCTGGAGTTCCAGTAGTTGATACAAAATGCGGTCATTCAATAGCGTGGCTAGTGTATCTACGTTTTAATGCTATTATTGGATTTTGCTAATGTGTGTAAGAGCCTGGGAGCACAGAGGAGTAGACAGAAATTTAATTACCAAGGCACTGGATGTATTTAAGCTCTGCATATTTATTCCTTGAGCACAGAGAGAAGTCTGAATCGCTTCACAGCTTTCTTGCTTTCTTATTAATAGACACCCCAAAGGAGAAGTTAAATGAATCGGAAAAGATATCAAGCTTTGCACATCTGATTGTGTCAAAACTTTCTTAGACTCACTGAGTGCTAGTCATAAGCCGATGTTAATCATTACTGAGGACTGAATTTAGGATCTGCAGTACCTAACGCAGAGATCCCAGCTGCTTCACCTGAAAGTAAAATCCTTTAGGAAGAAACAGCAGGCAGTGAAACGGGTAGGACGAGGCATTCATTTAAAAACACGATCGTGCGTGCCGTATTCCCAGCGTATGCCCTCTCTCTTTCTCCTCAAAACACAATATGGATGGTTTCAAAGACCTGTAGATTCTCCTGCGGGTCCTACATGAATTTGAGGGGGCAGGACACAGCTGGATACCAGCCAGAATTACCTGATCTGCGCAGAAGTGGGAGCAGAGCCAAGCAGTCTTTCTCAGGCTTGTGAATGCAGCTAGGAGCAGTGGTTTTAACTGATGTTTGTCAGGAAAAGTTGGCTGGCCAGGGAAGAAGGCCAAGTAGGGGACAAGGACCCATGTTTTATGAGTTTACTGTGGATATGCTGTCTGCCGAGGCTCTTACACACCTCGGTGGCAATGAGGAGAATTACTGCCGCTTAGTTCGGCGGAGCAGCGTTTAGTTCCTTACAGCTGTGGAGCAGAGAGTATACATGCGAAAAGTGTTTTTACGGTAAAAGTGTGAGCTCTTCAAGAGCTTTAACTCAGTGAAAACACCAGCCTAGCTCCTTTATTTGAACTGCATTTTCATTTTGCGCTCCTTCTTATGTATGTCCCCCTAGTTTGGGAATTTTAGCTCTTTGCTACTAGCTCGTTGATACCCCTGGTATATGTGCTCAAAATACCTGGGTTTAATTTGCTATTGGTTTTGTTTTTATTGACCATTTTCTTAGCTGATCTCAAATAAGCTCTAAAACCTTTACACCCCCCAAATGACTTTGTTGTTCATTTGGAGTTGTTGTGTTTCTATGCCTTGACATTACAACACACTAAAATCACTTGAGAAGGTGCCAAATGAATAACAATAGGGAAAAACACCCTCATAGTTTCTGCTTCCTTATTTCAGTATTTGTGGAAAATCTATTACAAACGATGCACGTCAGTAGCAAATGCCATTTTCATCTCTGTTACTTTCATTGAAGCTGTTGGCTGCAAGGAGAAGTGTTTGCAAATGAAAACGAGCATGTTCCAGAGGTCAAACTGTTAATACTCTTTTATATATCCGATTACCGCACATCAGACAGGCACGCTGTGCTGCTTCCATAAAGAGCTGGGCTCACAAACATCTGTGCTTCTCCCAGTTTATTGTTTCATGGACCAAAAGCTTCTCTTCATGTGGATGCGTCTTTCTTCAAGGCGGCCCACCTGGGCTGAAAATTAGTGTCCAAGGCTCGGAAAAATGTTAGTGCTCCTTTCGGGTTTCATACTTGTTGATGAATAAGAGAGCTGAGCTACCAGGGCTACTAGAGTGATTGCCCTGGCTTCGGGTGTCATACAATAGAAAGGAAAAGAGCGCACATTTCTTACGCAGCCCTCCGGGTTGACCGCAACGCAGGCTATAGCGTGGGTGCTGCTTCTCTTTAGCATTAGGGCTATTAGTATAGATTACACCCCTCTCGGGGGCAGCTGTGCTCTCGCCTACAAGCTGCCCTCTTGTGCCTGATCGTGTGCAAATCGAGTCAGAATAAACGCTGAGTCTGCCTTTAAAGTCGTGTCATTAAAATAAATATAAATGGTGGATTATTTTCATTTCCTTTTTTAATTCTGACCCTGTAACATGCACGTTGAGTTACATGTTGGAACTTTTCATCTCAGTTTGAAGATTAGAAATGTACTTTTAAAGAAGAATTATAGCAACAAGAAAAAACCCTTAAGTTGAATTCTTCTGGTAATAACGATAAATTTATTGATAATATTATGACAATGTCTCCTGTAAAATATGTTAAAATTATTATGCTAAAATTGGTGATCAAATCCTGAAAGCTATAAGTGTAGGAACCATCTTGTTTCTCCCTGCCCTGTTGATGTACTTTGGACAACATTTTAAAGATTTTTATAAGGTATTTGTCTAAGCAATAATACCGCTAATCACAAACATTGCTCTATCTGGTACAAGTCTTGTTTAAAGGATCACTGATAACTTTGTTTTGGCTTCAAGCTGAAATTTTATAAAAGAAGCTAGTATAAAACTAGACCTAAGAATGTTTTTGCAATTTTTAAAAATTCCATTGAGAACAAGGGTTCAAGATGAATTATGAGTCGTGGGGTATTTGAAATATTGTCTTTAAACAAGAGGGGGGAAAACAAAACTAGCTTTAATTCATTTTTGTTTCCCAGGTTGAAAGAGAAGTTAATGAACAGAGAAGGTGCTAAAAAGTCTGTAGCCAGTGTGGTTTTTAACGGTAATTTTTGAGTTATGAACCTGTTGATAGACCTTAATATATATTTCAATTGTTTTTTTTCCCTAACTTACGGTTATTACATACATCTATTTCTAAAATAGGTATCTCAACGAGCTTGGCTCTTTTAACAATAGACAGTGGTTGGAAAGCGTTTTTCTCTCTTAGAAATCAGGGCAAAAATTAGGAAAGTGGTGCATCGTTTGTTAGCACAATGTCCTTGAGTAAATAATAATAGCAAAAATTAAAGTCAGAATATTTGCTTTGAGATTTATTGCTGCTCATTGCAATAAATTGTCCTCACGTATCCTGAAATGAAGGAGGAAAGCTGTTCTTAGGAACCTGAGTTTGAATTAATTTTGGTAGATTTTCCTTATGCTAAAATATGTTTTTTTTCAGATGACTTTGATGTGCCAATAGGTAGATGTTAGGAAACTAAATAATACAAGAAATAACGTACACTGTTCTGTTCAGCATTCCTGAGATTGCACTGCCCTCTGCAGAGATGAGCATTAGTTCTTTGTCAAAATTCAAAAGCATGCACTGGGAATCTCTGTAAGAGCTAGAGGAAGAAGAGATTGTCAGGAGGGAAGTTTTCACTGCAGGGATCGTTGAGCAGTATGCAAAGATTTGGATAAGTGCAAAGAGACTTACGGAAATTGCTTGTTCTTTGCCGAACTGCCCCAGGGGTCAGGGGCTGGAGTCAGAGGGGAAACGTCATCATCTTTGGCTATCAGTTTGGGCAATAGAGGTAGGAGACTATTTTATACTAAACTCGCATTACCGTCACAGTGAAGTAGCTCAAATTTAATCCATTTCGGATATGGATCTGGGTTGTTGTTTGTTTTTATTCCCAATGTCATAAGAAACAATGAGGTTATGAAATTAGGAATAGGTTGAAAAGCACGTGATTTGTCTCGTTAGTCTTACTTTTAATACACAGGCATAGACAATCATCACTCAAGAGCAGAGCCCCATCAGGGCTTCACAGGCAAATTGCAGTTATCTGGGGGAAGAGGAGGTGGGAGGACAGTGGGTTTGGGAGGGAACCTCCTCGCAGCTTGCGTGTCGCCTCTCTCGGTGCCCTCGCCCTTTCTTGCTCCTCTGACCCGCAGGAACCCCATTCGCTAACATGGAGTACGCTCTTCACCCGTGCCAGTGTATGCTTCTGCCTGGCTCCCCTCTGTCTGCAAAATGAGTCTTTTCTTTCCTCCTTCTCTGCCCCAATGTAAACAGCCTCCTTTGCTGCTTGGGTGGTTGGGGAGGAAAGGAGAAAGCTGGGAAGGCTAGGGTCCAACCATATGCCTCCGTTGGTCGTGCCGCCTCTGCTTCTGCCTTGGGATGGGATGTTTGTGTACGTGACCTACTGATGTCCCTCTCGGCCCTGTTTTGTTTTGTTTTGTTTTCTTCACTCGTTGAGACGAGAGCTAAGATCACACAAGAGTTCACAGTATGCCTAGCTGGAGTCCTGTCCGTTTTCCATCTGTGAAATCTTGGGAACCACTTGAAAGGCCGGGCCCATCACAATGGCAGTTCTTAATCGGTGTGTTGTGTTTGTTTTTTTTTTCATTTGTTCTGTGCAGATCCTGATGAATTTGAGAGGATATATGAGCCTCTAGATGTGAAGAGCAAAAAGATTCACATAGTGGACAGTGGGCTTACATTTAACCTGCCCTACCCACTTATCTTAAGACCTCAAAGAGGGGTTGATCTCATCATCTCCTTTGATTTTTCAGCAAGGCCAAGTGATTCCAGTCCTCCTTTCAAAGTAAGTAAGATAGGCCATTCCTTCTGTTCGTGTTAATAAATTTAAGATGACTCAGTTTTATTCTTCCAGGCAGATCAGTTGCAAATTTAATGGTTTCTAAAGGCTAACCTTAGAGCTATTGTATCTACAGCTTTGGAGCAACTTGTTTCCACATCAGGGCAGAATATTCCAGCCTGCCTCAGTTCCTGTTTACATGACTCACATGAGACAACTGACAGAAAGAAGGCAAATATAATTTGGGTCTCGGTAAACCACTATTTGAAGTAATATCTATCTTGTTTTTTATGAAAATCTTGCCTTCAACACAGAGTTGCAGAATTTGATTTTATGACGATATTAAACAATTGAGTCATTTACTGTTACTTTATAAAATGCGGTAACAGAAAGAAACAGTAAGACAGAAATGTAATAGAAAAATACTCTACTTGTTCCCTAAAAGACAGTATGAGTAAGGGAACACGTTAGACTGCTACTCCAATTCCATCCGATTCAATTCTATTTTTATTGTAAAAAAAAAAAAAAAAGAAAAAAAAGAAAAAAAAAAAGAAAAATCTTTTTCTTTGTTACTTTAAGATCTCCAGGGGATGCAATACTGGCATACACTCACATCACTTACTATGATCACATATCATAATAAAGTATAATAATGAAAAACCATTTAAAGTTTTCAGAAGTTTCTCACGTGCAATTCAAAAGTGATTTAGGAGTTTAATTCCCAGCACGTGTGTGTAGATGATCTCTTCTCTGAAATGAAGGTTTAGGATTTTCAGTAACCAAACAGCGTATTGAAAGTCTACCCTGAACATAAATAAGATTTCAATGCAGGAAGGATTGATAAATATTTCAGTGAAGAAATGATTGCAAGTTTCAGGAATATGTTCTTTGCAAGAAACTTTTATTATAGCAGTTTCATGAGTACCTGCTTGGGCTTTTTTATAAAATATCCTGCTGTACTTCAGATATTTTTTATATTCCTTGGTATTCTTCTTCCCTGACAAAGATTCTTAAAATCAATTAAATATCTGTAATAAGTTTACATACTGGGGACTTAATTTAGCTGTCATTGAGGTCAAGGGAAAGTCTGAGAATCAGTCTGGATCAGTCTCCTTTGGAAACTGTCCACCAAAAATCAATATTTATTTTTACGATCAGAAATCTAACAATTCTCCCAGCTCTAAGAAGGAGGCGTTTCCGCATCTTATGGATGAATTACTACATGTATTATTGGGCATTGAACATCAAGTGCATATCTGGCACCAGACCTGAACCCTGGCCCTACTAATTTTAAAACTAGCACAATAATAAGATTTCAATCAACTTGCTTGCAATTAGAAAATCTGGTCATATGCCTTAGAGATTAATAGGCTGTCTGGAAGAAATGACAACAGGGATGACGACGAGTAGGTAAAGGAAGTCTGTGAAATGGATTAAATGGCACCTTCTGAAAGTCATCAGGCGTCCTGTTTAAACCTCCGCTCAGGAGAGTTGCCCAGCTGGGAAGGCGGCATAGCAGGTACGAAAGACAGCCCGCAGGCATGAGCCCCACTGTCGCACGGCCACTCCTCCACGCGATACTGTATTTCCAAGGCTTTTCAGCCCCTTTTAGTCTGGAACAGATAGAAGCGGACCTTAGCATAAATGAAAATCAGACTATATACACCCACATGCAAATATAGGAACAGGAAGTTTATAGTTTTGTCTCAGGAAAATGATAGAGGCGTGTGCTAATTTTCCGCCCCGGTGTCATCGCTAGATCGTGACAGAGTGAGAAAGGCCCAAAGCCTAGTGTTGCAGTTACAGAGTTTTGTAACTACATGGAGTGGTTTCTGTGTAATTGACATTGAAAGAATTCTCAGAATTAATTCCCGTGAGCATTAGTGGTGGGAAGGACTGTAACAGCTCGGATGTGAACCAGCAGGGTCCGGTGCTTTAGCTCTTACAGCCATGTGATGTAAATACGTGGCTTTCTGTCATCTCGTAGAAATGTGTCCAGTATTGCTAAATATATAACATTTTGGAAGTGAAATTGCCAAATATGTAATGTTTTGGAAGTGATACTTAACTGTTCAAGCATATCTCACTGCAGTAATCCCAGTACTGATTTGGGTAGGATTCCTACGCCCATCCAGGCCAGAAGAAAGTAAATACAGCAAAATACGGGTTTTCTGTGCCAGGTGTGGAAGGCGCAGCCGTCGATCCGTGCAACCTGCACAATCTGCGCACCCAGACAGCTCTAAGGGATCAGAAAGAGGTTAATGTCGGATGGCTATGGTAGCTGACGCAAACCCAGCAGCACTTAAAAAAAAAAACTATGCTGGGGTACTTAAAAAGGCAACGTTTATCAGACAGCCAAGTGAGTCTTGAAGAAGGATTGCTAAGTAGACCAAACAGCTATTTCTAACATAGCTGTTTGAGAAACCATCTGGCCTTCTCTGCGGCTTTGCTGTCAAGTTTCGCTTAGAACAACCAAACAAAGAAGACTGCTCCCTTCTTCTCGCTATGAGGGGACAAAAACCCAAAACAATGTAAGAAACTAATAGTGGTAGTGAAATGAACGCCACGTAACTACTGTCCAAGGCAAAGAAAAACAAGCTTCAGCAAACTACAAAGAAATAACTTCTGTAATCTCTACGGTTATTTTGCAGGCTATCTGTAAGAGTAATATACTAAGAAAGATCAGCCAATGCTGCGCAAGTCCTTAAATTTTCCTTAACTGGCCGAATCCCAGTTCGTTCCTTCAAGTTCCTGTTCGTTTAAGAACTTGATTGTTTTTGTCAGGATTGAGTATTTTCCCCATCAGCTCAATTTACTGGCTCAACACCGTCATTTCCTCCGAAACATCTTCTTTTTCCTCACTTTTTAAAATTCTCCGCGTGGAGTCTATGTGAAAGGCTGTGTATTGAGGTCTCTGTTTCTCTTTGCCTGCACGTTGAGCTCTTTTATCTCCGTCAGTTGCAATTTTCTGTGCCGCTTTGGGGAATGTACCGTAACGTGGAGAACTTGATTAGAAATAGCAAAGTGGTGTGGTGGTTTCTTTTTTTATAAACTGTAATTTTAAAAAGGTGGAATTGTTTTCAGAAGGAAGAATGATGGGAAAACTAAGTGGTGCCTTAATTAAGTGGTTTCTTCAAGCCACCGTCGCAGGGAACGGTTCATTATTTCTGAATCACAAATAGGGTATTACAGCAGCAGTGATGTGCCTCCAGGTGATGCACAGCCGTCGCCTGCAGGCAGCGGTTACGTGCTCACGGCCTCCATTCGCCCAAAGGACACTGACCAGTTTTGTTTGCTGCCTGGACGATCCCATTGGTTCGGCTAGCCTTAAAAAGAGTAAATGTCCCTTCAAGAGCTGTGGTGTCTATTATAGGGCTGTAAAATGGTTTTATTACTCCAGCACGTAGGGAAATCAACCAGCTGAAGTCAATGACTCCACTCTTGTTTTATCATTTTACACCCACTGTCTTTTAATCTCTTGTGTATCCAAAACAGTTGCCCAGAGAAGGGTCCTGTTTCCTTCCAAAGCGAGATTAAATATGCTGACCTTCCCCTGGCTCCCTCTCACACACCCTCATTGCATGCTTTTGAGTCATTATTTACAAATTATTTTGTTTACCGAGTTGTCACGAGGGTGGGGAGGGAGGAAAAGGCTGGTTTCCAGGCTCGCATCTTTGCTTAGCACGCTTTCAGCTGCCGTTCGGCACGGTGATGTGACTCCAAACAGAACAACATGTGCATCGGTGTTTATCAACTCTCCTTGGTTTCCATAGCGCTGATCCTCCGTTTGCAAGTAAAATTGTGGGCAGTTTTTTTTCTAGCTGTCAGCTCGGTAAATTCACCCCAAGATTTACGTGACAGACCAACTCTTTCCTTCCTGTGAATCATCCCAGGTGGGGAAGATTGGGCAGGCTGAATTAGGTGCTCGTTTCTACCTGTGACG